CTTTTCTCTTCTTTTCTCTTCTTTTCTCTTCTTTTCTCTTCTTTTCTTATTAAATAATAATAACTTAATAAACAGGCTGTATGTTGACCTGGAAGATGTCATCTCAGTTGGCAATACATACCAAGCTCTCACCCGGTACCTTTTGGTAACATCTGAGATATTCCAGCTCTTCCTGTTGTAGGTTTACAGCAGGGAGATAAACGTGAAACTGAGTAGGAAAAGAGTTGAGTTATATTAACTTGCATCCAGCACACTCATTTGTGACTGCGTTCTCCTACGTGAGTACCTGCTGTTCGCTGTTCGGAAGGTTTAGTTCCAAAAGAAGCCCTTTACCTGAGAAGTTTTGCCACTCTTGCCTGCAAAATGTATCTGAATTGCTGCCGCAGTATTTGGAATGTGTTTTATTCCTCTCAGCTGATGTGCTGAATCAGTTTCATGTATTGGTTGGAGTAAACATGTGAATAGAAGCAGTCAGTGGCTCTTAAGGCAATGTCATTTTACAGCAGAAGAAATTACGGCCCTTGAAAGCAAATGCCTGTGGTCTTTGTGAACGCTACAAAACCTGTTAGGTGCTGTTAGAGCTCCGATTCCAAAGGGTTAAGTCTGTAGTAAAACCCAAGAAGAATGCAAATGATCAAGAAATGACATGCTGCCTATTGTTTGTAGCTATAGGATCAAAATAACAATTATACATGCCAAATAAATTCTAAACCTGTAAAGGAGAAAAAGAGGGGGTGGCTGTAAGTACAGGTGCCAGAAGCATTAAATAACCCTCTCAGACAAGGTGCACCACTGTTGTCTTGAATGCTGCTAGGTCCCCCAGTCTGGCATTTTTCCCCTGCACCAGACAATGTGCATTCACTGCAGGAGACTCGGGTAAGCCTGCGTCTCCCAGACCTGCCGGCTCCTTGTGCCCAGCCCGACACAGAGGTGCCTTTGTCAGTATAATTACCCTCCCCTTGTAGTAGAAATAGTTTGTTTAGAGCCTTATTTGCAGGTAGAGCTGGTATAAGCAGGAATTAGCATGCTAAAGAACCTGCCCCGGCACTGACTTGGGCTTATTTATCAGAATCTTTGACAATCAGAGCTTGGTTTTGTGTGTTGTTTTTTGTTTGGTTTGTTTTTTTTGGTTTTTGTTTGTTTTTAACCTCCATAGGTTTATTCCGTGAGATAGCATCCAAGATTAAGAGCTTTCAGGTTATTAAAGAGCTGCAAGATGGGAGCCAAGCCGCTGTTGCATTGGTGAGGCACATGTTATGGTGTGTAAGATCTCCCAACAATTTCATGCCTGGCAGCTCTGCACCTTGGCTGCCAGAATAAACGCGAGCGGATGATCCTTACAGCTTTCTGGGGACTGATTAAAACCCCTTTTGGCTTTCAGCACGTTGTCCACATCAAATAGGTGCGAGAAGTAAAATAAATGTTGCTTTTGCTTTTCAAGATACTGCAGCCAATCTCCCTAAGCCTTCCTAATTGGCCTAGGCTGGTTGCGGATGATTAACTTGAAGTTAAATGAGGCCTGCTTTTAAACATGCTTTCCCAGACTTTAAACAGAACGATGGGGGGAAACTTTAGACTGTTGTGATATTGGAACAGGGCCAAATCGGGTCATTATTAAAGTGGATCCAAGTTTTGATCCAGGGTTTGTTTACACTCAGCCAACTAAGTTGATGGACATCCTCTCTCTGCGTACCTGAGTGTGCGTTATTAGTGATATGAGCAACACGCCATTTCTGTCCTGTGAAAAAGGGCCTTTTAATGAAGGGGGAAGAATATTAGCAGTCTGATTCCGCTGAGAGTTGCTTGCAGTCGGAGTTCGTGGATTTCCATACGTTATTTCAACTATGTAGAGATATTTCAGAGTATGAAAAAAATGTGGAGGAAAATGTGCACAGTGTTTAATGGCAGCATTGCAAGGAAAATAAAAGTAATGTGCCCTGAGGGTAAAGGCAGCGAGGAGATTTGCTCTGAGGAGAAGTATGCTCTAAAAATAAATCCTGAAGAAACCGTCTTGGTCTGAGAATGTTTCATTAGTGAATTTCGTAATTTTTCTGTGAGATGAATACAGTGCAGACATTTGATCATTAAAAAGTTGTTTTCTCATGCAGAGCTGGGTAAAACCCTAGTCTTTTTTTTTCTTTTTTTTTTAATGTAAGGCTTAAAGGTAAACTGTAAAACAGGCTTCTGTTGGAAGGCCAGAACTCCTGCAGAATGTGAACTGCAAAAGATCCACCTTCTTACCCTATTGGTGAGGTGTACAGGCTGTAATTCTGAGAGCCCAGCCCAGCACTGACTTTGTTTTGTGCCTGGTATCTCGGCTCAGCCTGTGGCTGTGCAATGGCAGTGCTTTGAGGACCTACGTGGCATTTTCTTTAAGTCTTACTCAGTGTACCTTAGGAAGGCCTAACAAGAACCAGTGACTGCAAGCATTAATCAGATCAGATCCAAGTACGCAACAAGGCAAACCTTAGAAGCAAGAGTAATTAACCTTACAATGCACTGTCAGGTAAAATGGTCAGTTGTTGGTCTGTCAGGAGATAAGCTGAGAGAGGATCAGGGACAGAAAGGGGCTCCAGCAGTTTGTTTTGGTCGCTGCACTTGGCAACTACGCCGGTGCCATGCAGAACATCTGAGAGTAGATCTAATGGCTGGTTTTAGATAAAATCTTCATTTTCTCAGAGGTCAAACTATGCTTCTTAGCATCTCCTGTGAACAGGCTGACAGGATCTGTTTTTACAGTAATTCCTTCTGCCTCACCTTGCCAAAAGGCATCTTTTCAGCCTTTCTGACACCTTGCAACTCTTGCATGTTTGCTGGATAACCAGCATCCAGCTTACTTCAGCACTCTATTTTCATTGCCGTTACCGTATGAGCTAAACTTACCGATATGTCCAGGCATATAATTAGATTTAATTAAATTCTGTGCATATTAGCATGTCACCTGTGAAATGCCTGGTGCTGAGCCATGCTCCAGTAGGGCTGTACACCAGAGAGCTGTAGCAACCAGGGCACCTCAGGAGGGCTTACTGAGAAACCTCAAGGAGTTTCACTGTGACTCTGCCCTAGTTTCAAAGCAAGCAGGCTTAGCCTCATCCATGAAGCAGTTCTTTCTGAAGCTTGAAAGACTTCACCATTTTTCCAAAGGCACCTTCTCTTTGTGTCTGCCTGCCACACTCAGTCCTTATGTGCTCAGACTCTGGTGTCCTGGGTACCGAGGCTGAGGAAAGGCAGACTGCAGGTCCCTTTGCTATCAGAGCATGGATGATATTTGGTATTTCATTTTCTTTGACCTACTGTAGTGGCTTTTTGCATTTTCTCTTGCTAGAAAAAAATTTTTCTTGCCTTTCTTGCCCCACAGTTTTTCTTGCCTTTTTACTGTCCTCTTAAATTTGAAGCCATTGTACTGGTAACTGCATTGGTTGTTTGTACCACTGAAGCAAACTGGTCACAAAAGCTGAAACTGACCTGAAAACAAACTGTATCCCAAATCATGCGTACTTCAGAAATCACAAATCAGTCTCTCCATTACCGCGCTGTGAAAGGGTTGGTGTTGCAGCCCTGCTTTCCCCTCTTTCCTCTGATACACGTTGCATTATCAATTGCAATGTCTGTATGGATATATGGAGGAAGCACTATTATCTTTGAAGTAGTTATTGTTAAGTGGGAATGAGAAGGAACAGACTTGTCCTGTGACTCTTCAAACATACTCTGAACTTCTTCTGCAGGCATATGGCTCAAATGTCAACTACTTACTATTCTGCAAAGGTGTTACCAGAGTTTATGCCAACACACAACATTTTCTCTATTACCAATAAATGTCTACGCTATTAAGGAGTGAGGGAGAACAAGTAGACAAGATAAATATAATGATAGAAATTGCTGAACCAAAAAGCAATACTCACATGCTACTCAGCAGAGTGAAATACATCTATCTTATTTTGAGAAGAGAAACTGCTTTTCCTGTAAGCTCTTAGTGACAAAACAAAAATTACGATGTTGCTCTGTTCTCCAGTGTCCGTTGTTCATCGTGTTAAATTTGCTCATTCTCAAAACCTGTTCTCTTTTTCAATGCAGGGCGCTAAGGCGTGTTTTTTGCGTGACATCCCCTTCTCTGCTATTTACTTCCCCTGTTATGCTCATTTGAAAGCTTCATTTGCCAATGAAGATGGAAGAGTCAGTCCTGGAAATCTGCTCTTGGCTGGGTCAATAGCTGGTAAGTGCCCAAACTGCTCTCTATGTGCGTTTGTGTTACACCGGCAGTGCAGTAGTTAGAGCACATTTTGCAGCATTGTGCCAAAATAACATAAAGCTGCTATGCTAGAGAAATGACCTGAAGTTAAAAATAAAGATCCTGCAAGTTTGGGGTATATTCATAATGTTTAGGGGAAAAAAGAAAGGAAAGATTGAAGTTCTGATGTTTTGTCGTCATGCATCATCTTTACTTGTGACGTTACTGTGCTGTTGGCTTTGGCTGGCTGAATAACTGGTGAAGGTTTTTGTTAAAATGGTTTATAAATGAAATCACTGAAAATAAAATCATGGCATTTATGAAATTTTGTGATCAAAGGAATCTTGAATATTGGTGTGTGGAATCCAACAACCGTGCTTGCAGAAAACGTTGGCAAAATGTGACAAAATGATGAAAATTACTTGCTACCCACTGTCTCCTGTGCAGTTACATGGCTTTGTGAGGACTTCACCCTTATCAGAACAGTTTCTGAACTGGGCTGTATTCCATTGTCTTGCCTGTTGCAACAGGCACTTGTGTGGTAGAAAGCATAAGGAGTTGCTTGTTGTCTTGTGTGCCATAAGTTGTGGATTCCTGACTACCCAGATACCTAAGAGGTGCTGAGTGTCATCTTGAGCACTTGCTTGTTCTAGTCTGCAGCATAGTGTGTAGGATAGCCAAGCAGTTTCCACAGATGTATTCAGTTTGAGTGTGCCAGAGTCTACGGGGAGATAGACACACTTTGCAGACTCAATTTACCTTTGTGTCAGCTGTGTAGGTGGTCCCTGACACGATGCACAGCTCCTATACCCAAAGGGGCTCACTGCCTCATGCAGCCTGGGAGCCTATTCCTGCCACATCCATTCCTTAGAAGTTCTCTTCAGGAAACAAGTGGGCTCAAAAGCTTGTGCAGTATGGCCATAGGGGAGTGGGTAACAAGCAGGATGTTCCCATCAGCACTCACAAAGCAGATGTTTTCATCATGTTAATCATGGGCTGCTTGGCTTCTCAAAGCTGCACCCAAGTTCTGGCCAGCTGGCAGGCTGCTGCAGCCTGGCAGGCTAGAAAAATGATGGAGATGCATGAGTCCAGCACAGATAAGTAGTGCATCTTTTTTCTTGTTTGATTTTTAAGGTTTCTTCTTCCTGGGGGAGTTGTTTTCGGTCAGGATTATATGTGGGGCTGTGTTTCTTACCACCAACTGGTTGCTGGATGTGGCCAAGGCCAGTGCAGATCAACTGGCCTGCCTTGCTGAAAGCATATGGCTTCAACTCCTTGTGTTGGCATTCAGTCATCTGTAGTGCAGAGGAATCAACCTGGCACCAAGAAAACCAGCTGTGTTATAGTGACTGGTGCTTACAAACCCTGTCCTCTCCCATCCCCATACCCCAGAACAACCAATCTCCAAACTTTTCAACGGGAGCTTACATCCAACTTACTTCTCACCCAATTTAGTGGAACAAAACCATTTTTGAACTTCAGTTCTTATTTATAGACTTCAAACATCAGTTGGCATTTTAAAGCCAAGTCATTTCTTGGATTTTCCTCTTTTTCTCTTTCTAGCCATTGTCAGTTGATTGCAGACTGAGATAACTGTCCTTTGAAGTCCAGGCACAGAAGCAGTCTTTATTGTTGCTGATACAGCTTACTAAACTAGCTGTGTTGTGAATTTTATCCAGGGTTTCCTGTGAAGTCCTCTTAAAGTTAACTCTCATGAGCAAATTACAGTATTAAAGATCCACCATTCATTATACAGCTTACAAAACCAAGGAATTTCTCTATTGGGTACAGATTAAGTATGGTGGGGCGTGCATGTCAGCCCTGCTTTGCCACGAGAAGGCTGAGGGGAGGCCACAACAAGAACCCCACACCTCCAGCACTGGCTCCAACTCTAAATGTGCAGGGCCCTCTGCTTCAAGCTGGCCTGCTTGGTTGCACACCCGCACCCTTTGCCAATGGGTGTTGTGTCTGCTGTCTGTGTTTTCTTCCTTTTTGTTGTCATTAGGGACACATGCAGCACAACACGCACATCATCTAGTTGGATCTGCTGCTGTTTTCACTGTTCACCCGATCAACCTGTTGTGCCATGGCATTTTCTGAGGAGGTGATGCCATTATCAACAACAGGATAGCTCTTTAATTTGCTCCATCTGCTTACTGCTCCTATGAGCTTCCTTCTCTTCCCGTGCTCCTCTTTTTTACTGTCATCTCCTGCTGAGTCATTTGTCTCATTCTGATTGTATGCTCCTCAGGACAGTGACCTGTGAATTTTTATTTGTCTGTGAAGTCTTCTGTGCTTTATACATAGCTCTGAAAACAGGATTAAAAAAGAAACCAAAAAAAACCAGAAAATCAATAAAACTCATTTTATACAAAATAGCAATAAGGAGTGAGGAATAAGGAGATGGCAGTCAATGTGTAGTAAGCAGAATTGCTTCTAAGTATGTCCTTTGGTTTTCCTTGAAAACACTGGCTGGCTTTTGAAGAACAAAAGTCCAGCTTTAAATTGAAGACAAACCAATATCCTGGTGTGGGTAAGGGTAAGCAAAGAGGAATTTCAGCCTCTCCAAAGTTCAGAAACCTTTACTGAGTTGTTGCATTTGCCTGCCAGACTGACCACTGTGCAAGTTCAGTGTGTGTGTTATTTTGGGGGGTCCAGGAGAGGAGGAGGAATTCTTTTGGTGATATGTACCAGCTTCCATCTCTCTGAAGCAGCGTGCAGAAGGATGCTGTGGTGCCTGAAGCCAGACCATGCTGGTTTGGACAAAAATTGTTACAGAATTATTAAGCCTAAAAAAAAAACCAAAGCAAAGGAGATTTATGCATCTACATCTGACCAAGTTGGTTTGGAACAGATGCGGAATGGAAAAGTAATAAAACCATAAGAGACACTGTCTCCTGGGTACAGTCTCGATCCCTATTTTTTCTTTCTTTCTTTTTTTTCTTAATTCTAAACATGGGCAGTCTCCTTTGGACAGGAATGATTTCAGAGATATTGCCTGTTGGTAATTTGGTGTTTTTTACTTTTAGCTGATTGTCTGCCAGGGTAAATTTAAATCTTCCTCCAACCGTTCTGCTGGGGATGTCAGCTGTGACTTTGCAGCTGAGCAATCTGCCGTTCCTAATGAGAAAAATGAACCTTTCTTTAAACTTAGCTCTTGTGCCTTGCTGAGCGTGCATGGCATTATCAGTTCTTGGTGAAGCTGTTGTGTGGGGATAAGGGCAGTGTGTGCAGGCTCTTCTAGCACAGCATGCAGCCAGAGTGCCAGGAACCACAGTGAGGCGTGAAGAGGAAAGGGAAAGATCGACCTCACCTCCAAAAACATTGTGCTTATTGACTATGCAAGTTTCTGGTTAGCACTGAAAAATCCAGGCTGTGCCTCCCAGCTTGACAGGAAGCCTGTGATACGGTTTTTCCTCTAAGAGAAGCTTTCTCTGGGTGAAGCCACGTCCACAACGCTGCCTCCTGTTGCTTGTTTTCCAACTTCTGCTCAAACCTTGTGTGCTGGGTTCTGCTAATGTAAGGATGAAGGGCATGGTTACCCCTGGGGAACTGCAGTTTGTAGCATATGTAATAAGTCAGCAATACCAACCCAAAGGTTTTTCTGTCTCCAGGTATGCCTGCGGCCTCTCTGGTGACTCCTGCAGATGTCATCAAAACAAGGCTACAGGTAGCAGCCCGGGCAGGGCAGACCACTTACAGCGGGGTTGTAGATTGCTTTGTGAAGATCCTTCGAGAGGAAGGTCCAAAGGCTCTGTGGAAAGGAGCAGGAGGTGTGGAAAACAGCTTTGATTACTGATTTTCTTTTCTTTTTTTTGTTTTGTTTTGTTTTGTTTTGCTTTGGTTTTGTGTCACTTAAGGACTGTTTTGTTTCCTTTCAAGCTCGTGTGTTTCGATCATCTCCCCAGTTTGGTGTAACTCTTGTGACTTATGAACTACTGCAGAGATGGTTTTACGTGGACTTCGGGGGAGTGTAAGTATGTGGTGTGTGAATGTGCCTGGGAACCCAGAGCTGCTCTGGGATCTCCATGTGTCTTTGGGCAGAATAGGGGTCTTAGCATTGTGTAGAAGATATTGCAAAGGTTTTGTTAATGTTGGTTAAGCCACGTTACGTCTTGTGGAGGATAAGATGATGATACACCACCTGTATCACAGCAAGACATTACCACATTTTAGGTCATCATTTTGATCTGGGGACATGTGTTGGTATAAAAGGAGACAGCAAAAGGCTGAATAACAGGGTGGGGGTAGAACTGCAGGGGATGTGTAATGCTTACTGAGTCAGGATGCACTCTGCATTAGTCCTCATTAGTGTGCTGAAGGAGCTGCATCCCTTATTAAGGAGGGATTTGACATACAGAAGGGTCTACAGGTGTCACCAGGTCCAAATACTGTTTGTCAGAGTCTCAGCTCTGCCTCCTTTGAGGACATAGTACATAGGGGTGTGCATATTGCTGTTTTAACATGATTACCAGATGCAGCTGCAGATGCTTATGAAGCTTTGGGGGCAATAGAAGGCTACCAAAGAAGTTATTTAAACTCTGCTGAGTTACTGGATTGGTTGTATGCTGTAGGAGAGACTTCTGAACTTCACACTGCAGTTTTCATCAGTGCACTGAAAGATTTGACCATCCTCCATCTCAGTGAACGCAAAGACCCTTGGCTGTTCTGGAAGGTTGTGGCATTTAATTGAGTTACTCAGTAGGAAGTGCTCTCAGGTCCCTCCCTCAGCTGTCTTTACGGAGTAGTTTTGTGAATGTTGCTTTCATGCTATGGAAATTATTATTTTTTTATTATTATTGTTTTGCAGAAAACCAGCTGGATCGGAGCCAGTTCCTAAATCCAGGATCACGCTCCCTGCTCCTAACCCTGACCATGTTGGTGGTTACAAATTGGCAGTTGCCACTTTTGCAGGGATCGAAAACAAGTTTGGACTTTACCTACCTCGGTTTCAGCCATCACCACCTACCTCAAAGGCTGCTGCAGCAGTAGGACCCTAAGCTTATTGCTGTAGGCTTTTTGTTATTAGTTGGGAAAGAGCCACTTTTCTAATTGGTTAATACTTTTGTTCCTTTAGCTTCACATCGTATAACAGTTTGGCTTCATTTAAGGCAGTTCTCATCTTAAACGTAATCATTTGTCTTTGTGCTTCCTTAACCAGATCACTGTGAGATTCTTACCAGTCGTTTTAAGTTTGGGACCATGAATGTATCTGTCCACATCTGACATGAGCTTGTGTTGGGAAGACACTAATTTTAGGTTCCATTTATTGGGGAGGTTTGGGTGAGAGCTGTGAGCCAGATCATCTTACAGACAGTGCTCAGTTGCAGATTCCCAGGGTGGATGTCACACACTGTCACTCAAATGGCAGAAAAACTCAGTGGATATCACGGTGCTCAAAGCAGAATGAGTTTGAGTGCACCTGTGAATTGGTTCTCAACTTAGTGCGTGTCTGTAGAGGTCAGCAAATACACCCCTGGTACCGAAGTCTGCCAGTACAGCTTTGACTTTTTAAATATGTACACGCACAAGTTCTGTTTCTGGATTGTGTTATGAAGCTTTTATGTGGAACATGTTTTTGTAATGGAAACCACATTTATAAATGTTTAGCTGTTGTATTATGTTACTAGTATCAAAATGCTCAAAAGAAAGTGTTATTGTCCATAGTCTTTGCACTTTATGGCAGTACTTTTGGCATTCTACTACACGTACAAGGAAATTTCATAACTAGGTGCCTATCTTGGGTTGCTGGTGTTTGGAATTCAGTTTGTATATGCACTCTAGTAAAACGCTGCTTGTTTAAATAGCTGCAATAGAAAATTCATGCACTGTATCAATGGTACCTGCCTTAACTGCTGGCTTGTAATTGGCAAATAGGTGGTTTCAGATTCTTATTTACTTCATTGAGTCCACAGAGATTAAAATACTCTAAAAGAAAAGATTTTACTTAATTTTTGGTGCCTTGCACAGTGTTTAGAAAATTATGTATTTATGAAGATAGTAATAAACCTTTCAAACAGATGCACATGTGGTATTCTGTTATGGAAATGGGATAGTACATCCAAAGGCTTGTTCAACTTCATTTATAAATTTAAGTTAAAGATAAAGCTGATATTCAGGTGTTTGGGCTATAAAAACATCTGCAGTTTGAGAACGAAATTACCTGTGTCCGTGTGCGTAGAAAAGACACGCATTGGTGTAGATGTCGTACAAAAAAGACATTTTTCTTCAGTCAAAAAGCAGGATTGAAGTAGGCCTTTCTGCTTGCTTTTTCTGTTTTTCTTTTTTTTCTTTTTATAGTCATAGAATCACAGACTGGCTTGGACTGAGCTGGAAGGGATCTTAATGATCGCTTAGTTCCAACCTTCTCCCATCGTGGCCAGGGACACCTTCCTCTAAATCAGGCTGCTCAGGGCCCCATCCAATCTCTGGCCCTGAACACTTCCAGGTATGGAGCATCCACAGCTTCTCTGGGCAGTCTGTGCCAGCACCTCACCACCCTCCGAGGGAAGAATTACTTCCTAACATCTATCTAAATCTCCCTTCTTTCCATTTAAAGTTGTCATTCCTTGTCCTATTACTTCAGGCCCTTATAAAAAAGTCTTTCTTTAGCTTTTCTGTAGGCCCCCTTTAAGTACTGGAAAGCTACAGTGAGATCTCCTCAGAACCTCTTCTCCAAGCCGAACAAGACCAGCTCCCTCAGCCTGTCTCCATAGGTGAGCTGCTCCAGCCCTCTGATCGTTCTCCTGACCTCCTCAAGAAGTTCTGTCCAGCAGCTCCACGTCTGTAGCTATGGCCTCAGAGCTGAACGCAGTGCTGTGAGGCCGTGCAAGAGTGGAGCACACAGGTGACACTCGCTTCTCTTGCCCTGATAGTTACGCTTTTGATGCATCCCAGGATGTGGTTGGCTTTCTGGGCTGGTAAGTGCACATTGCCAGGTCATGTTGAGCTTCTTATCAGCCAAAACCTCTAACCTTCTCCTGGCTTCTCTCAATCCATTCTCCTCCGAGCCTGAATTCATGTTTGGGATTGATGCAACTCAGGTGTAGGACTTTGCACTGAGCCTTGTTGAACTTCATGAGGTTTGCACATGCCCACTTCTCAAGCCGGTCCAGGTGCATCTGGATAGTATTCTTTCCCTCCAGCCTGTCAGCTGCACCATGCAGTTTGCTGTCATCTGCTAACTCGCTGCAGGTGCACTCAATCCTGCTGTTGTGTCACAGACACAGATGTTAAACCGTGCAGATCCCAATACCAACCCCTGAGGAACGCCACTGATCACTGGTCTCCACCTGAACGTTGAGCCAGTGACCACAGCTCTGAGTGCGACCATCCAGCACATTCCTTACCTACCAGGTGATCCATCTGTCAAAGCCACGTATCTTCAATTTAGAGACAAGGATGTTGTGCAGTACACTATCAAATGCTTTCTTTGCACAAGTCCAGATAGATGATGTCAGTTGCTCTTCTCTTTTCCACCAATGCTATAACCCTGTCATAGAAGCCACTAGATCTGTGTTATTCTGAGTACCTGGCCAATAGAAGTTACTGTTGGGTATCCTCTGTGCTACCTCTTAAGACGAGAATTTAGTGTTTACAGAAGAATGCTTTTCTTCTTTTGGAAGATGGGAAGTGTTGGCTTCAGCACAGATTGTAAACTGAGAATATGCCTGGATGCAGTATCTTTGCAGAAGAAGTAGGTGGGTAATACTGTGTTTTATTGCTATTTGTTGAAATACTGAAATTGCTATATTGCATTTGTGTTTGGGTCGTCATCAAAATTATTTACTTCAACTAAATTGTATTTCAAAATTATCAGTGAAATAAGGCATGAGAATAGCAGCCTGCAGTGCTCGCACACCTGAAGGTGAGGGGAAATGATACTTACCAGCAGCTGTACCTCCGAGTTGGGCTGCAGTGTGCAGAGAGCACGGGGCAGCTGTTGGCTGCAACCTCTCGGCCTCATCTATTCAAGTCTTCCAAAATGACAGTTCCTGTTTTGAAAATGGGTAAAAAGCCTGCTTCTTTGGTATTTCTCCAAAGTTAACTGTCATGGTTTTTTGTTAAGTCTTGTCACAAAAGTTAAACTTTTTCTCTGGGAGCTGCTTGCGTTTGACACTGGAGATTTTTAGGCAATTTAGGAGTTGTTTTTCTAATTAATCGCTTGCTTTTGCCTGACTTACCTTGTCAAGAATTTCCACAGGAAAGCAGCAGCTCTCGGAAGACATCTGAGTGCTGAGCTGTTCTTTTGTGCTTTTGGGTCAGTGCCTGCCTAGGTGTGCACATCCAGGTGGCAGCCACTCGCTTCTGACGCGGTCTGGGGATGGGATGGCATGATGACTGTTGCAGCCAGGACACATCTCTGTTAGCAGGGACAGAATGGTGAAGAGTCTGTGATGGCCTCTCCGATGCATGGCCCAGCTCATGATACTCAGAGCAGTTCTGTCCAGAGATCCTCTGGCTGTGTGCTGTCAGCTTCCTCCAAGCACAAAAGGATGCAAAAGTTCTGAAAAGCTTACAGGCCAAGAAATTGTCAGATTGCCTTACGAACATAAGGCCCCAGGGATGTTGAGATGTTAACATGTTGTCTTCGAGTTTCTGGGTGAGTTATGCAAAGTGTTGGAAAGAATAGGATAAAAAATAACCTTGTTTGCTTCCTGCAGCCCAGCCACATCCCACTGAGTCAGCCAAAAAGAGAGCTGCTCTAATACCGATGATGTTCCCTACTGGGGGCATCTCAGGCAGCCACCTCTGTTCCTGTTTGTGTGCCCAGCAGGAGCTGAGGGATTTTCTGCCTGTCCCTGAGAAAGGGGGTTTGGCTTAAGTTCCTTAAGACTGACAGTGGGGATGCTTTCACGACCATACGTACCACAGGCTTCCTAAATAACTTGGGCAGGTTTCTCTCAACCTGCTAAAAATGGGGTATCTGACAAACCGCTCTGCGTCTGACTTAGGAGACAGGGCCACCTGGGCCACCTCTGCTGTGCGCCGGGCAATGGCTGAGCACAGTGCCGTGGCTCAGCATGGTGTGAGACTCAGTGCCTCTGCAGCACACGATGTGGCCACACCAGCGCTGCTGTGATACTCAGGCCTTGGATGCTTCTCATGCTCAAGGTTGTCCAAGCCTCTGCTGCACGCGCTGTCAGCCCTTTGGGCTTTGCTCTGTGGAAATGTGCAGCGCTTCTGAGGCACATCTTGAGGCCACTTTATGAGCTAAGAATGCACAGAGGCAGTGTGGGCAGTGAGTACTTCATAGAGTTGTGGGGTTGGAAGGGACTGCTGGAGATCATTGAGTCCAACCCTTGTCACCCTACAATAGGTCGCGCAGGTAGGCATCCAGGTGGGTCTTGAATATCACCATAGAAGGGGGCTCCGCAGCTGGACAGCCTGTTCCAGTCTGCATCACCCTTACCTTAAGGAAGTTCTTCTGCATGGTATTATGGAACTTCCCCTCACTTTGATTCCAAAAACTGAAGGTAATGTGGAAACAAAGAAGCAAAGTTACTGCTGTCAGTGCACAGCTTATAATGCACAGGAAACAGAGTGGGGTTGAGCCCTTTCCCACTGCACCCATTTTGGGTACTGTATAATCAATGAATATTAAGTTGTTATAATTACAAAATAAACAAGAGAGTTAGGCAAAGCAGATTATAGTAACAAAAAGAAAATGGGTAGAAAGCTTACCTGTATCCTGGGCTCACTTATGGAACTCCAGCAGAGCAGATCTCCAGACGAGATCCTTCCCCTCTGGTAGCCAGCTCTTAAATGGGTCTAGGAGAGATGCAGCCTGGCTCCACCCCTTCCAGCAGCACAGGAGAATTGCCTTCACCTGTGCTCCTCTGGCTGACTCAGCGCTCTCCTCAGGTGCTCAATCAGAGGTTCAGACCGTGACCCAGCAGTTCCCATACAGGTACACACACTTGGGTGTGGGTTTGCTGTGCAAGGGTGATGGGCAGAGCGCCCTTGGACTGTAACAGGCTCTGATGGACACGTGCATGCATGTGTGTGCCTCCATAGGGCTGACTCTGATAGCTGACACCACTGTGCATTGTTTCAGGTCCTGTGTCTGCAGGCATAGGGATGCGACATCCCAATCTGAGGAACCCAGCCCATGGTTCAGAATGTGATTGGCCCTGGATGGCATTAGCCAATACAGTCCTGAACTGCATGGAGATGTGCTTCCCTAGGAACGCACAGAATTGTTACTGCCTGACTTCCAGTGCTTCCTGCTGTGATGGCTCACCTGTCTGCCCGGGGGACACTGCAATGCTGTGCTGCCAGCAGCCTGCCACATCCCTCAGCCTGTGCCCTGCTGCCTTGCTCCGGCCATGAATTCCTTGTAAAGTAGAATGTTTCCTTGTCTCCTACCACAAACTGACTCTGAAGACCTTTTTTCCTTATTCCTTTTCTTCTCGTTCATACAGCAGCACAATGCTGTTATGTGTGCAGGTAACCACCCACAGTAGGGTTGGGGAGGAAACCAAACCTAGAAGCTGGCATGGATTAGTTTGTTCTGTAACAGCTGCAGAGAATCTGTTGCACCAAGGCCATGGCTGGCCAGTCCTGCACCTCCGTGTGCTCACACAGCAGCTGCAGTAGTGCTCTGCAAGCAGGCAAAGCCCCGTTTCCCAGTGCCCAGTAATGAATGTGCTGAGCGCTGCTGGCAGGGAAGGATTAACCACACTGCAACAGAACAGGCTGGATACATTTTATTGGCAACGCTAGTGTCATACTCAGGAACCACAACCCTTTGTCAGACTGTTAGTGTTAACTTGCATGACAAGTATCAGTGACCAACTGTATTTGAAATATTGTTAAAGTGCCTAGAAATAATGGGCGTCTTAAAAAGAGGAAAGGAAACGCACTCCATCCACTCAAGCCAACCTTTATAGATCTTACATCTTAAGCACAACTGATGTACTGTAATTGTTACGTGGACTTTAATGTAACCTCTACAGCAGCACACAGACAATGCAGTTCTCTCATTATGCACATGCTTTAGGATCGTTTATTTTAATGCTTTCAAATAAATATGTTCCATGCAGCACACCGCAATAAATAAGGAGCAGCAACTTTCGTATAGTACATCCATTCATAATGTAAGTCACCATGTGAAACACCACATCTAAAGCCTTTGGCCCAGTCCCATACAGTGAAGCACACCACATCTGCACATAATCATATCTGGCTTCATATGGATTTAATAGGACTACGCCAGAAGGGCAATGTGAGCACAAGTTTAACCAGGGGTTCCTACCCATTAAATACGGCTACTAAGTAGTTAAAAGGCAACAACTAAACCCATAAAGGGTTGATTTGTCTTTTCTTTCTTACCTTTCAGACAGAAATATAAAGTATGAAAATGCTCTGGATTTTTTCAGCCCCGTGTAAAGCCGTGTGATTAGCATGGAATGCTCTGAGCAGTACTGGCACGCACGCTGGCATCGGCAGCCACAGCACGACAGTCGGCAGGGAAGGCCGCTCCTCCTCTTCCTCTATGCCGCCAGCTCCACCGCCCCCTCCTCCTCGCTGTCTGCCCGGTTGGCGCGGATCTCCACCAGGGTCCGAGCGAAGCGCGTCCATTCGTCGTTGTGCGGCACTGCCAGCTGCGGAGAGACAGCACAGGGATGACAGCGCGTGGCCGGCCATGTCAGCCTGCAGCGCTGCCCCATCCCGGCACAAAGCCACTCTTCTCCCATCCAGCTCCGGTGGCAGAGAGAAAAGCTTCTCTCTCTGCAGGATTCTGGGGAGGAGTGCTTTGCTTAAGCATTGTCGCAGAACCCCTCTGTTAACCTTTCTGATTTTCCAAACTACCCCAAGCTTGCTCTCTGTGACACATCTATATGCATTTCACAGCACACGCATGGCCAAGAGTAATTGTTTGCAGGACCGAGGTCAGTGTGTACAAGGTAACAGTGCTTTTACAATGCTGTACTGAAACCATGTTCCTGAAGTTCATTAAAGCTCTTATTAAAATAAATATATTCTGCTATCTTAGTTACCCTCCTCTATGTTAAGGAATTTAGCATGAGGAAGCGTGCTCTAAGGGGAACGTAAAACCAACTGGAGACTGCCCCGCCAGCATCTGTTTTGAAATTGACTCGTAAGATCCGTTTCCATTCAATAGCACTGATGTTTCTGGTGAAGAGCTCTTGAACATCAGGCTTCAAGAGGAGCCTGCAACCCACAGCGGAACTTCCTGATAAAACACAGTAGTGATATGACAAAATAGCAGTCATTTCTAGCTGGATCCAACACTGCAATTTCTTGAAGACAACACAAACTGAGATGGTCCACACTGGAATACAAGCAAATCGTTCTCACCCCCTTCCTTCCCTACAGCGGTCTATATGGCTGGAGACTGAGCAAAAGTGATTTACACAAACTGGGAAGCCCGATTTGGGCAAGAACTTGCATAAAAGCCTAATGTTAACCCTGTGTGTACACTGCTGCAAGTTCAGAGTTGATTGCATGGATGGGTATTTGCAATACCTCCTTGTATCTCAATGAAGTCAATGAGATTTTCAACTGCTATGCATCTAGTTTTGCCTCTACAGCCAATATTACAGGCAACGATCTAGCATATGTTTTAAAGTTTCCCACATATAGGACACATACCAATGACTCAGCCATGTTATATGAAGGTCAGGCATACAGTAGCTTTGTTTTGCGTACTGAAATATTGAATATAATACAGCTCAATATTTACTGATGTTGCAGACCAAAAAACACCTGTGTTTTTTGACTCAAAAAAATCTGTGTGAAAGCTACCAGCCCTTAATGTACCTCCACCTTCCACTTTTGCATTTTTCTCTTTAACTTCTGGAATGGAGACCACAGTTCCAAGAGCAAACCATGGGAGCCAGCCATCCCTTTCACTGAATCACAGAATCACAAGGTTGGAAACGACCTGCAAGATCACCCAGTCCAACCACCCTCCCATTCCTATTAGTACCGCAAGCTACTAAACCATATCTCGTAGCTCCTCATCCAGATGCCTCTTGAACACTGCCAGGGACAGCAACTCCACCACCTCCCTGGGCAGCCATTCCAGTGCCTGACCACCCTCTGAGAGAAAAAGTTTCTCCTAATATCCAACCTAAACCTCCTCTGGTATAACTTCTTGCCATTTCCTCGGGTCCTACTATTTGCCTGGGAGAAGAGGCCAGACCCTTTTGCACTACAACCTCCCTTCAGGAAGTTGTAGAGTGCAATGAGGTCTCCTCTGAGCCTCCTCTTCTCCAGACTGAACAATCCCAGCTCCTTCAGCCGCTCCTCATAAGACTTGTGCTCCAGACCCCTCACCAGTTTCGTTGCCCTTCTCTGGACACGCTCCAGGGCCTCAATGTCCTTCTTGCAGTGAGGGGCCCAAAACTGAACACAGTACTCGAGGTGCGGCCTCACCAGTGCTGAGTACAGGGGGATGATCACCTCCCTGCTCCTGCTGGCCACACTGTTTCTAATGCAGGCCAGGATGCTGTTGGCCCTCTTGGCCACCTGGGCACACTGCTGGCTCATGTTTAGCCGAGCATCAACCAACACCCCCAGGTCCCTTTCCTCTTCACAATCATCCAACCACTCATCCCCAAGCTTGTAACACTGCATAAGGTTGTTGTGGCCAAAGTGCAGGACCCGACACTTGGCCTTGTTGAACCTCATCCCATTCACCTCAGCCCAGCGATCCAGCTTATCCAGATCCCTCTGCAGGGCCTCCCTTCCCTCAGGCAGATCGACACATCCTCCCAACTTGGTGTCATCTGCAAACTTATTCAGGGTATACTCAATCCCTTCGTCTAAGTCATCAATGAAGATATTAAACAGGATGGGCCCCAGCACCGACCCCTGGGGGACACCACTTGAAACAGACTTCACTCCATTGACCACCACCCGTTGAGCACGGCCCTCCAGCCAGTTCCTCATCCAACGGAGGGTAAAACTGTCCAAGCCACAGGCAGCCAGTTTCTGCAGAAGGATACTGTGAGAGACCATGTCAAAGGCTTTGCTGAAGTCTAGGTAGACTACATCAACTGCCTTTCCCTCATCTACCTGTCTGGTCATCCAGTCATAGAAAGAGATGAGGTTGGTCAAACATGACCTGCCTTTCATGAACCCATGCTGGCTGGGCCTGATCCCGTGGACGTTGCGCACGAGCCATGTGATCTCTCCCAGGAGGATTTGTGCCATGACCTTCCCTGGCACTGATGTCAGGCTGACAGGCCTTTCACACACACACACACACACACACACGTGGATCTGCTGTGGCCTTCAGTTGAAAGAAAGCTCTGTTCTTTGAAGAACATTAAACAGAAGGAAACATTAACATCAAGATGAAGGTCACTTCACCAACACACAAGCACCCATAGCAAAGGTTTGGTCACACACACGCCTATACAAACGCCTGCAGAGTAAGCTGAGAGACGATGCGAAGATCCTTCCATTACAGATGAAGCCCAAGCCATCTGTGCATCAAATTCTATGTTACCACTGCTGGTGTTCTAAAAGACTTTCTTTCTCATGATGTGCATAGCACCGTCATTTGTCAAACTGAATGAAAACATGAAATAAGCCTCAGTCATGTCGAGTAGTGAAATCGTTAAAGTGGAACAATATATTAGGCAAAGGATTCCTTGAATTTATTAAAGCCTCATTTCTTGTTGTCTTTTTAAATCCCAAATGGCTTTACATTGTATTAAGTGGCTCAAGATGATAATACATCAAAAGGAAAAAAAAAAAAGAATGTATTTATTACAATGCGATAATTTAATTCCCTTTACACCACAGCACGGCCACAGACAAATAAATCAAAGCCCAAATGACAACAGACTGAAAACTGAACCTCCTCCCTGCAAACGTAGATATGCAGTATGGCTAACTAACAGCTTCAGAAGGGCTCAGGCCTTTTTTAATGCCTCAAATCACAAAACAGTGATTTAAGTGAAGACCGTTAGCACACAGATGAAAACATTCAGTGTCCACATGCAATCTGATTACTTAGATCTTCATTTTATTTTACCTTATTTAATCTCACACATTGCATCACACCTTCAACAAAGGGAGAGTTCTGCTAATAGTCTGGCAGTAGAACAAACCTCTCTAATCTAAATCCTTCAGGGATGCAGAGTCAAGTCAAGGGAAAACAGACTTTTATTCTTCTTTCTAAGAAGTCCCTAATGCTGAACCACGCAAGTTATAAGGCAAAAGACCACAAACAAAAACAAAAGCATCCACAAACTCCAATTCAAATTCTTGTATGAATTAATGCTCCCAGTCGCTGTCAATTAAAGTTCCTTCAGCTGGGCATGCTCACACTGATAAATGCTGAAGGCCCGTGTCCCTCTGTGGACCAAACTCCTCATTTCAGCTTTCCTGATGCAGTAGCTGTACTGCAAATCCCAGGGCAAGGGTGGAAGAAAATAGATTTGTAGGAAGATGGGGACTTAATGCTGTTTAGGCGTTTCTTACTCATATGCCATTTCTCTGTCCACTTTCAGTTACTCCAAAGCAGCATGTGTTGAGTTCCAGCAGTCATAATCACTACGCAGAGTGGAAATGTTCACCAAAGCATAAGGTAATATAATAAGTTATATTAACATTTGGGTCATAAGGTTATTTGAATGAACTGACTGCTATGGAGCAGAACAAGAAAATAAATGTTATTTAGTGTTCTCCTTTGATCCCTTCACAAGGGAACGTAAGCGCTACCTGCAGCTAATTAATTAACTGAATTACTCACACCACTTTAGCTTAAATACCACAGAGTATTTAGGTTGCATCAGATAGCAATTCTAATGAGGAAAACCAGTATTACCAAAGCAGTGTGGTGACTTAAGCCAAACTTTGTCTGTTCAGATGTTAGGAGTTGTTCGGTCTTCTATCCAGCTTTTAAAATATCAAAAGAGTTCAGGCTGTAAGTGTGACTACAAGTTTATGCAGCCACACAAACCTGCTCCTGCTTGTGAAGTTACGTGTGCTCAGCTGGTTACAGGTAATGCAAGAAAACATTTTAGCAAGATGCTGAAATGATGATTCATTTTTTTATTGGGTGAAGCCACTTAACTTGGGACATCTGAGGTTCCTTCATTCTCAACAATCAACATTTTCTTTCTATCACTCTAATCTTGTGAGAACCCTCAATTAAAATCCATGAAATATCTTCCAAAAGCACTTCAGTATGAAACGGGTATCTGTAACTGTTTGATAAGTGATCAGTGACCTGTAACATACTAAACATCATACACACATAACATTTCATCATTTCAACTAGTTCACAAACTGCTACTCAATGATATTCAAAAGCTGATTTATGTCATGCAAACTCTCAGAATTAATTTGTCCACCGCCTCCATTACTATGATTTTAGATACACACATTCTGGTGAGAAAAAGTGTCAGTAAAGCTTCTGAAAAGGAAGCATGCCCTGGGCAGCAACTCCCAACCAGCAACCTGAGACTCCCAAGCAAAGCGAGCTCAGTGCAGCCCCTTGCACTGCACACAAGGACCAGTATGCAGCAGCCACAGCTACTGCCAAATACTGGAGTGGTGGATTGGCAATTTCACCAAGCTCAGGCTCTGTTCCAGACAGTAACACCAAGTGGACTCCTAACTATTCTTGTGACGTGCTACAGTTACCAGGTTATCTTATTAGGGACGAATAACATCATACCCATGTGAACCTTACCCAGCTTGTGCTTCCCTGGGTCTGCCACACGCACAGGTACTATAGGAAGGCAACCACTGACTGGACAGAATAGAATAAAAGGTGCTTAGAAAGTGAGATGATGGGATGCAGTGACATAAGGCTTATACAAGTATATAAGGAGATCTCCCCATTCTCATTTGTCTCCTTCCCAACAGCCAGAGGTGGCTGCATTCTGGTAAGTCAGAAGCCTCTGGTCTCTAACTTTAATCTCAACCTCTTCAATTTTGGTGAAAATGTGTTGAGCTGATGGGACTTATCTGGTTGGGTCACACAGGCCAGCTGCAGAAGGTTGA